ACGCGGAGCAATCTGTGGAGCTGGAAGCTGAGAACTGGCGACTTTGTAGTACAACTTGAGTACGCGGAGTATCTGGGGAGCTGGAAGATGAGAACTGGCGACTTTCTAGTACAACTTTAGTGCGCGGAGTATCTGGGGAGCTGGAAGATGACAACTGGTGACTTTGTAGTACAACTTTAGTACGCGGAGCAAGCTGTGGAGCTGGAAGCTGAGAACTGGCGACTTTGTAGTACAACTTTAGTACGCGGATGAGTCATCTCTCGCGGCTGAGTCATCTCTCGCGGCTGCTCTGGCGCCCGTCCAGCTGAGTCATGTCTCCCGACCACCCGGCTCTCTTGAGAGGTTGACAACTTTTAGCTACTTGCTTACTCATAAGTGGCTGCCACAAAAGAGTCATCGTGACGTTAGTATGTGTGTACTTCACCTTCATGACACACGATGCTCGCTTGGAATACGCGAGTCGCTTGTCATGATCGTGATGTCGTTTACTCTCAGGTCGCCCTGTTCGTGGAAACTTCTGTGTGAAGTGTACGTTCTTCAGTTCTGTTTGAACCTCTTCAGCGTTGTACTTGCACAACTAAGGTTGACGTTGCACTGCCATTCCATCGACGCATCTACGTCTACACCCCCTCACCTCTCTACATTTACATCTTCACACGCTCACATCCGCAGATCTACCTCTCCACCTCACTACACCCACACATCTGCACATCTGTATCACATCTGTACATCCACGCTGTCGCTCCTTCACATCTGTCCTGTCTTTCTTTCTTGCTTTCTACATATCTTTTCTCTCGTCTCTGTGCATTTACATTTTCGCACGCTCACATCCACAGATCTACCTCTCCACCTCCATACATCTACAGATTTATATCGCACCTGCACATCACACTGTCACTCCTTCACATCCACCTGGACAATTACATGTCTCGCTCTCGGGCCAACCATCGTCTAGTTTTCCAGGCCAAGGTGCAAGAATTCTTGGTGCTTGGCTGCTCTAGGGTAGGGTTGTTCTGACGAAATCAGATCGCTCTGCGAGCATTCTTGCTCTGAGGCCCATCCGGCTACCCACGGACCATTCGCAGGGCTCCTAACCACATGTTGCTTCAACAGGGAGCCTGCCTATGAAATTGGACGTGAGCATGGTTTGTGAGTGTCAAGAGCATTTTCAGGTGTGGAGGCTGCGATTGTGTCAGACCTCAAGACTCAAGACCAAGGTTTGGGCCCAACAATTTCTGGATCACCTCTTGTTGTCAGGCCCTTAGGAGCTCATGGCATGAGAACATGAGTCATGTCCAAGTCATCTCTAAGAGGACGTTGCTTTCGCGGCCGCACAAAACTTCGTTTGTTCGTTGAAACCCTCTTTTGCCTTTGTGCATGTTGACAATGTGTGCAGCATCTGTGGATGTTTGATGGTTTTGGTGTTTTGTCATTCCTGAGAGCTCCGCTTTTTGCAAATTCTTCAAAGGCAAGAACCACAGCGCCAGAAGTTGCAGCCCCAGATTCTTCGCAACTGGAAAGTGCCGGCACCTCATGCGTTCCGTTGGAGGCCATCGCTACTAATTAGGTTGGGGGCCATCGCAGGTTCCGTTCAAATGTAGGTGCTTTTCACCGGGTGACGAGTGATCGGGTGAACGCGAGTGACCGAATATGGGACTGCAACCCCCCACTGAGGTTGCAGTCCCACAGCGCAGGCAGGTGGAGCCTGCATTTGGATATGTGGTCAACTGTGCTCAAAGGAAAACTATAGAGATAATATAGAGATGTATAATGTATGTATAGAGTCTCAAAGTGAGTTGCTGCTTCATTTCTGCACTGTTTTGGTAGGATATGGTGGGATCCTAAAGACCGACAGCACTGGGCATCCAGATTTTGTCATATTTTGTCATTTTTTGTCTAATGAGCTCTGATGTTTTCAGCAGATGAGTTCCAGTCTACGGCAATACACTGGCACATCTCATGGTTTGGCCCTTTGCTGCACCAGCGTCTGGATCAAATGCCCCAAGACGCGGCGCATAGAGTTGGAAGAGTTTGTGGACTCCATTCATAAGACGGCTGTCTCTTTAAGGGTTTGGCATCCCAGATGGGTCGATGGGTCGATGGGCGACTCATGGGTCAATGCAGAGGCACCTGTGCTGTGGGAAATCGGCCAATCCGAAATATACAGCAAGCATCATTTAGCATCCTTAAGCATAAGCATTGGATTGGCCGAGAAATGCAATGCAAAGAAATCATCGCTAAAAGGATCCATTGAGTTGCAAAGCACCCAATGTACATTCCCCCTTGCTTCGCTTGCTCTTTTTCTGGCACGCTTTGCACTTCTGGCCACCAAGCCAGGAGGTTTTTTGGAATTTGTGATCTACCATACACAAACAAACACCCTGAAGAACGTGCACGTGCATGATGGCTTCTTTAGAGGCAAACATAGGCAAACCCAAAAAAGGTATGCTCGAGCCAATGAAACAGAATATGCTGGAAAGCGCTCGGAAAGGCTGGCCTGACATGTGTGGCCAAAAGCTGGAGTTGAATGTGTGTTTATACAATACTAATACTATACATATAGTGTGTATGTATGCAAGGTATAGATATAAAACAAAATCAATGCTTGTACAGTTTTATTGAATATATTTTGTACTTATTGTACATAGATCATGGTGTGGCTTCAGATGTCAATATGTTTTCACGAATCCAATGCAATGTTTGTTGTAACTACTTGGATGTGACGGTCCTGGCAAACTTAGGAGGTGGCCCACTTGATACAGGCGCACGTGAAGCATTTGTCATGTTTGCTTTATCAAGATGCGCCGAGGTTCTTCTTGCCCCGTATTTTCAAGGAGGCCATTGCTAGTAGGTTGGAGGCCATCTCTAGTAGGTTGTCTCCCCTCCAAAAGCAACTTTGGACCACAACCTCTCTTTCTCTCTAGCAAGCAGTGCGAGATGGGCGTTTTGAGTGACTCCAGTATCTTTTGGGTATGACCTGCGTCAATGACCTAACCGATTCCTTTTCGGGACCAAATTCCAACTGGTGCGCTCGCAGGTAGCAGTTGGCCCTTCGCTTGGCCAATGCGTGGCTCGGCGCGGTTGGTTCGCTCGTTCAGCTCGGCTCGATGGCTTGTCACCCAGGCCGATGTTTTGAGCTGGTGACGGCCCTCCTGGTGGCTGCAAGTTTCTTGGCACACTGTTTGTGGGCATAGTCTTTTGTTTGTGGTGCTGCCGAAAGTTGAGACTTTTGGGGTCTTGTGGGACAGATCTTTTTCGTGTATGAAGTTGTTTGGCCATTGCACGCCTGTTTTGCATTTTGTTTGTAATGAACAGCCCAAGAGTAAGTCATTGAGATATTTTCATGTTTGGTGAAGATAGCTCCCGCAAAGGTGGCCATGAAGGACGGAAAGGTATCTTGGCGAAAGGTGGATCAGTTTGGGCTGAAGATGGTTGAAGGATTGAGGCATGCGTCCAATATTCAACACTGAGAATGAGAACCAGTGACAACTGATGACGACCGTACTGGACTGTGCTTGGTAAAGTAGAATAGAGAACAGGCAGATTCTGAGCTGCACTGCGTCTCACATCCATGTGTGAAGTGATGCTCATGCCGAGCAATAGTGCAGTTTCGGCCTCCTAATCCAGCAAAGACAACGCTGTCCGTTGCTTGAGAAGCACTCCACTTCATAGACCTCCTGTGCTTCATGTGGTCATTGCCAATTATTCATGTTCTTCAATGATATTCATGGCATTCGGATGCATTTGGCCATTTAGTAGTAACAAGGGCATCGCTAGTAGGAGCAAGAAGTTACTAGCAGCTCCTGGCATCGCTACTTAGTGGAAAGAAGCTAGTGCCCCTGTTGGTGTTTGCGCCTGTGGCGGCATCCTCTCTCGAGTCGATCCAAACTCTCAGGGCCAGCAGGAGCGCAGCGAGTCTTGAATCCAGAGGCCCGTGACTTTCAATTCGGAAAGAACACATGGTTTTTGGTTCCTATTTTCTTCTCTCTTTCTGCATGTCCCAAGCATAGGTCCCAAAAAACACTGAGAGATAGTTGGAGTCTACCAAGCATCGCTTATTTTTGTTATATATTTTTTAAACGTAGCGCAGAATCCTTTTGAGATTCTAACAAGAACTCTGTTTCTATGGCCTTAGGTCACATATATATATATATATTATTGTCTGTATCACTTACTCCGAAAGAAAGAGTTAAGTATATACATTGCTTTGACCGTGGCCGCGCATGTTTGGACAAAGTTATTGTGTCGCTCCAACGCTGGAAGATCCGAAAGATCCAGAGCGCTCCTTGAGGTGCAGGTGTCCTTGTCTGCAAACGGTGAAGTCCAGGTGCCTGAAACCCGAACGAGTGCAGATTGGTGTTGAACTGTGAAGGGTCTCTTGAAATCAGGCATACGGCATATTGTCCAGGTGCAAACTTTGTTTGTTGAGGTCCAGTGAAGCATGTTCTTTTGCCATGGACTTAGTACAGAGATACCCATTCCATCAGTGCCCACGGTTTGTCCGTAGATTTCTGATCATCGAACTATATCGAACTTGTGTTAAGAAGGCCAGCTATGAACTTCACACCTGTTCCACGCCATTCATGCTCCATGTTCAATATCACCGCTCTCATGGCCGGTCAGCGTAGAGCCTTGATGTCTTGTTTGCTTCAGTGGACATGACAATCTTTCTCAACACCTGCTGCAGGAAGACACTCGCAAAGGAGTGATGAGAAGAGACAATTCGCTGCTGAATATGGAAGCCTGTCCGCAATCCTTGGTGTCCCAAAAGTTGAAGCCTATAGCAAGGTCACGGCAGCATTATAGCGACCATGAGGGTTTTGAGGTTTGAGTCGAAGTGGGGTGGTCACAAAACCACACGCTCAGAGCGTTTTTTGTGAGGCTGGAAACACCGTGTGTGACAGAGGTTTAGTTATTTGATTTGTTTCTTCCCAGTGGCTGCGTGTTCAACATGCGATTTCTCCGTGTACACACATACATATAACATATATATATATACATACATACATGCATCCGTACATACACTCAAGTCAAAACGTCTTTCATGAGACTTCGTAGAAAGAGTTGCAGTTTTCTTTGAGCCAAGTATCTTAGTTCAAACGGTCAGAGAGTGGTTGTCCCTTTAAAACGATGTCCCACATCAAGTCCTCATCTATTTCCAAGCTAACAAATGAAACTCTTTTACAAGGGAGCCTCCTTCCAAACACCGTGAGAAGCTATGATTCTCAACCGTACTTAACAACCTTTTTCCCAAGGATTTTGTGGTCTTCCCAAGTGTTTGCTTGTGTCCAGTCTCACATAAGGTTCCCGTGCGCCCGTTGTTTCACGGATGAAGCTTTGTGTTCTCTTCCAACATCGTGTGGTTGGGAAGTGCGGTTTGAAATATGAGGCCTCGGACCCAGAGGGTTGAACACGCGTGGCACCTGTTACTACTAGCGTCCTTGTTACTACTAGTAAGGCACCTGTTACTACTAGCGTACAAATGGTTACTTCAATCTTTTGTGCGGCTGTGATATTTGCGTTGCCTGCTTCGTCTCGCTGAGGGTGAATTCCAGCATGACAATGAGGAGGTGGTGGGCTAAAGGGTGGGTCAATCCAAATGGTGCTGCCCCATGACAGAAGATGAATGCTTCTCGATTCTCTTGTTCACCCAAACTTGGTGATTCAACATTGGTCTCGTCTCAAATCTGCATTTACTGTATGTATACAGTAGACAAATGTACACTCGGTATGTGTTCTGAGGGGAGTCCCTAAACCCACCTGGCCCAAAGCCCTGAAAATTGTTTTTAGACGTCATATCTATGAACTTGTTGGTGGAAGTGTCAAGTGGAATTTGTCTCATGTTGGGCAAAAAGTCCTAAAAGAAACTCCTAAGCCATCGATCCAGTATTCATGTGTTATATATTATGTGATTTGTGTCATAGCTTTCCTGCTACATCACCACATGATCGCTTTAGTAGTTAGCCCTCGATTATATATGGCTGTTGGAAACAGTCAAAAACCCGTACAGACATGTTCGTTGATTTTCCGAGGAGAGACAAAAATCACCCATCAGTTCCGGAGAGACGCCGATCGACTCGCTGCGACGTCCAGGGTGATCCAATGGAGAGCGTGCAGAAGCAGTCGGAATCAGACTCAGAGGACATCGCTCATCGGTCAGACGACCGCTTAAACTCGGCTTGGTGAGCGATGTGAGTGATGTCAATACTCTTTTGGTGCACTTAAAGCATGATTGCAAGAGATCATGTTGAACCAGGCCAGAAAGCCCCAACAAGAAACAGGTGTCGTTTTTATATGTTGTTTCTTTCTGTTGTTTTTTAAAGCCCGCTCCCCCCCGGTCCCTACTTAATTAAATGAGGGTCTGACTAAGTTAGCTTCTAGGTAGGACGCAGGATAGCTCACGCTTCTTCAAGGACCCTAAGGAAGCTTTCTTCCCCCCCCGCGTGAGGGCGGGAAGAAGCGCTTGCACTAGTGATTTGGCTCCTTGTTCTTGGGCAAACTTAACATTAGGTAGACTTGTGTTTCCCTGACTACAGTCCATCACATTGCCCTGGTGCTATATCATCGAGCACACTTGTGCCAAGTGTTTTCCCAGACTCAACAGATATTGATGTGATGACTTAATTGGATGACCCTATGCAGGCATGGCAGGTGTGCACTGTATCTACCATTTCTTCACACCTTTCTTGACAGT